AATTAATAAAATTGTTACGTGAGGGTAGCTAATACAAGAAGCACATTAGTAATAATAATATACTTGTCCTCTATTTGTGAATTACCTGATTCGATTATCAGTTCGACTGATACACACTGCTAATAAAAACCGGTCGAGGTCGGACCAGCTTGGTAGTGCTTCCTAGCCCTTCACTTCATGTTTCATTTACTTTTGTACATCAAGGAATTCGCCATACGATAAAACTGTCTTTGGAAGTTAAATGCAACATTAGTAGGAAAACGAAACCTCGCAAACATTCAAACTGATTCTCCTTTTATATTTATCGATTTTGAAATCGATCCCGTAAAAGCGGTAGTGGGATCTCGGGGCGGCATTGATCAGGACTCATTCAACTATCTAACATCATGATTTACGCAAAAGACGTCCCTAAGCTTCACGTTTTAAGAAACACTCCACTAGAATAATCAAATATTTCCACAAGCAATTCCAATTAATCATTCATCTCCTTCATGGTCTGTAAGTGTTCTTTCCAATTGTTCACCAATGCTCGACTAGTCAAAGTCATAGTGATAAGCCCTTGGTTAAATTCTGTCTAAGAGCCACAGATGACTAGCACTGTGCTTTTCCCCAACCTTTTTGGATTTTGACCCTGGAACGCTTTCCACATATTATTTCATCCGAATACACGGATCGGTTCAAAAATCACCATCAGGTAAAATTGAAGACACTACTGTGGGTTGTTCAAAGTACTTTGCGGCAACCAAAGAGATTGATTTTGCTTCTTGAAAATGCTTTTTCTCTAAATATTGCTTTTACAAATCATAATAATATTCTTGTTGTTTCTGTATAATTTGCCCACAGATTGAACTTCCATCCCTCAATGCTTTTCGTATCGCTACTGCCGCAATTGGGTTACGGTTCACTCATCAGCTTCCACATTCTGTTGCTCAATCCACCCGGATTCTGCTTTTCGAACATGTTCACCGTCATCAGTGACTTAATCAGCCCCTCCCTCTCACTCACTTATCTTCACCCGTTCTCATCTTTTTGTTCAGCTGCTCATCACCTTCACGATGATCAGTGCATTAGAAAAGTCACATCGTACATGACCACTAATTGGTTCACTACCGTGCTCTCGGTACTTTCACGTGCACAATCCCTGTCGCTGTTTCATCATTCAGTGATCCCACTCTTACATAACCCTCTCTGTCCTCCAAATGAGCCTTGCAAATTGTTTTTTATCTCTTACTCCCTATTTCTCTGTTTCTCTCCATGCTGTACATGAATTGACTTTGCTTGTGTCCTCTTTTTCTTATTTCTCATCACTTGTTAATGGTGCCTCTCATACTCACTTATTTTGTATCATGTATCTCCGTTTCCGTACGGACCGCAACTGACAGTCGCAAATTGTAATTTCGGCACATGGCTGGCCCCAATGGATCATCCATTTTGTTCTCCCTTCTCATCATCCATCCCTGGTTCCACTAGTATGGCCCATGTGTGTGTGTGCATGTGCGCGTGTACTTCGGATCGCATTGTTACTACGCTCTTTTTCTCTGTCAGTGCACAACTTCTACGTTGTTGCAAGCGCATTCAATGAAATTATTACCACTATGCCGATCACTTCTAGTCAACTGTGTCAGGCCCGATTTTGTTTTATTACTCATTTTGAACATCGGTCCTTCTGTGCTTCCTATTACTTCATTCATTCTTTTTGTACGGTTGATTCTCAGGCGCAGCTGGGAGAGCCCATGTGGTTTTGTTTGACCCATGCGCACTTGTGTGCGTGTGTTGCTTGCCGCGCTGAATGCTACTTCTCCTCTGAGGTGTGCACCGGAAATCAAGGATTTTTAGATTACGCTTGTTTTTCTCGATTTATCAATGCCGTTCAGGCCATATTTGATGGTTTTTAAGGATGAACAGAGCAGTTTGGGTTACTGTATAAAGGATTGAGAATAGGGAATACTGGATATACGCATCTACCTACTTTTCAGACGTATCTACATTGCGTGAGTGTAACGCTGTCGCTTCTGACCTAAACGCTCAGCGGAGCGAGAGACAGATAACACGAGGTGCGCTAGTGCCCAACCTCTCTACCGTTGGTTTTCTAAACGTGCCCACAACGAGATCCATGGACCAGTTCGTATGCTTCGCGTACCTAAATAGAAATGACGTACGTTCCTTACTTGCTCACGCGACAGTAACGAGGGTATTACAGTTTCCCAGTTCCTTCCTTTTTTGCCATCCTCTTCTAACCTTAATAGCCCCCATCTGTCTGTACAGGTTCGTCCACTAGGGTTCATCTACCCAATGTGCAACATATGCGCCTGTTTGTCAGCCCCCTGTTAGCAAAAGTGCTCTCCGACTCTAACACTCCCAGGGTGCGAAAATGGCACACCGTTCTTTCGCACTTTTTCCCCGACTAAACTGGCGATCTTA